GGAATACAAACGCGCAAGAGAAAACCAAAGAATCATTCGGGTGTAAGTGGGAATCTTCCAGGACCAAGTGGTATCAAGACCGAGATTAAGTCCAGCTTACTCGGTGAGTCTCTGGTGAGCAAGTTACATTATTTCGCTACGATTTATTGACAAGAACAAGAACAAGAAAAACAAAAAAGAAATGAAAAACTAACCAAATAGAAATTCAAATTTCTTTGGAAATATTCTTTTTCTTTTTCTTCTTCGTCTTTCTTTATTTCCTTATCTCCTTTTCTTAAATGTCAACACACGTTTATTGTTTAATATTATTTTGAAAAATCGTTCGATTAGGTGTACCTACAGGTAATAAAAAGAAAGTATCTACCTTATACAAGAATGTAAACAAACGTACGTTCGGTTTGCCTACTATTTTTCTTTTTTTTTTTTCTTCTCGCGTTCGTTGGAAAACAAAAATCTTTTTTCTGTTTGTGTGTTTCTTTTCTTTTTTCTTTTATTTTCTCCGTTTCGATTGAAAAACAAATCGAGCTATCTCGCACGACTACGATTTATTATCTTAAAGTACACAACATATTTCTATGTAGCAGTTAGAAAAATGCACGGATGTAATGCGAATTTCATCGCATCGATCGTGAAATAAATCGCACTATTTTCCTTTCTCTCTTGGATTCATATGATCGACATATAAGATAACGATAAGTGATTTCCGTTGAAATGTATATACGGAGAAAGAAACATACAGGGAGAGAGAGAGAGAGAGAGAGAGAGAGAGAGAGAGAGAAAGAGTTATTACTATCTTTCTTTTTATTTCTTTTTTTGTCTCATTTCAACCTCGAACTGTAATCTATTGGCAAGATGTTTTTCTTAAAGATGAACATTTCTAAATGAATATAAAATACATATATATGTATTTCTTTCGAAATAATGATATTAATTGTAATAGAAAAATATAATTAAATTTTGGATTCGTCATTGATAATTTAATGATCATTATCATTTAAATATTATTATTATTATTATTATTATTATTAATAACAATGAAATAATAACTTTTAAGATGATAATAAATAATAAGAGAAAAAAGAGAAGAAAGAACGAAATAATGAGATAAATTAGGAAAATGTTGAAAGTATTATCGATCGATCTTTTGTTTTGTTTGTTAATATTGCAGTGGACTCGTTGCAGTTGAACATGTTTGCAAGCGGGGGTGGGGGTGAAGGGGTAGAAGAACATTGTCTTCCTGTAGGTACACCAACAACGGCACAATTAGGGCATGCACATTCGCCCCTCACATTACCTACTGTCGCCGTATTGAATCGTCAAACTACCCTTACGTAAGTGAGCAACCCTCATTACGCGTAATCTCTTCTTGAAATATATTAAATTCTATTAAAGATTTATGAAGATCTAAAGAAAGAAAATAGGCAATCATTTGAATTAAATAACGTGTTATTTTTTTTTTCTTTCTACTTTGCATCGTCCGAGTGAATCCAATTGTTGAACGATTTTTTTTTTTTTTTTAATGAATTTGATGTACACATTTAAGTATGTATTTTTGTAGTATGTTATAACTAACGAATTTTTATTGAACGTTTTGCAGCGTGCCACCACTAGAACCAATCACTAGTCAGTCCAACGGTGACCTTGTTTCGGTCATAACTTCAACGACAACAGCCCATGCTGAGAGATCGTAGAATTGTTTTTTCATTGATCTTTTGTACAAGATTTATTAAAGAAGAAACTAAACGTATTTCATTAACACATCATTCAATAAGTCCCAGGTCTGACACATATATGGCAATATTGTTGGCAGACCCACATAATTTCCGGGTAGTACTAACCTTAAAACAGTACGTGTCAAAAATTGATGACATTCTAACTGTTAGTTTAGAGGTTACAATCGTTTTCGCAAGTTGCTTTCGAAGTGGGTGACGCGTTTGCTCACACTGGACCAGAAACAACAACACGTCAACGATTCAGGAGCTGTTTGTTCTTTGGAGCTGTTCAAACGAAATAAGAAGGATTGCTTGCGTTGGTATGTGACAATGGATGAAACATGGATCTACCACAACACGCCTGAATCAAAAAGATCGTCAGCTGATTGGACAGCAGCCGGTGAAAATTGTCCAAAATGACAAAAATTCAAAAGTCAGCTGTCAAGATTACATAAGGGGCATCGAAAAGTTACAAGAGCGTTGGAATGAATGTATCACTCTTGAAGGAGAATATGTGTTGATGAATAAAGTGGAATTTATAAAAAAAAAATTGGTTTTTCTTAGTTGGACCGGAGACTTATTGAGTGATGTGTTACGTAGGAAATGTTTAATGTTAGAGCATTTTCGTTGGCTCCGTAAAGATGATAAAGAACAAGAAGACTTCTTTACTTAAAGAAATAAACTCCGTTAAAGAAAAATCATTAAATACAATTAAAATATTAGGAGGATCGGAAAGTAATCAAAATTTATTCAATGAGTACACTTACATTTAGTTTGTGTCAATAAAAAATCGAAGGAATTAAAAAAAAAAAAAAAGGGAATCGAACAATTACCTTTACGCTCTGCAAAAAGTGTTAGAAAATGATGGAGAAATGTTTTCTTGATTAGCATTTAAGATTTCATTAATAAATAAATGTTTTTCGCTATCAAATAAAATTTTTTATTACTTTTCGGTCCCCCTAATATAATGCAAGTTGAATAATGAAGAAATATTTTCTATAAGAAAAACGGATAATCGTTCGCGATACGTTTTAATTTCAGTGTTAATGTAATATATGGATATATGCGTTATTTAGCCTAATCACCTAACTGTATCATAACAATTATAACAGATTAAAGATATTGACATCGATACCAAAATTGATCTAACGACGATATTGACAAGATGAAAATATATTAAATCGCAGAGTTTTATAATTTAATATAATAATAAATTTATATACAATGTTAATGAACGAGAGTATAGTAAATTTATTTCAGTCGTTAAAACCATACTTGTAAGTGTCGACGTCAAAATTTCTTTGCTCGGTATGCTCGGTGATGAACATCAAATGTTAAGTAAAGTATTTTATTAGTATCTACTTAGCTTTGCGTGTATGTATAATATATGTATGTACGATTTACTAGCAATTCTTATATTCTCGTGATTATTTTTAACTAAATCTAGTTGCATGAAATATGCAATTTTTAGACGCATGTCTTTGTTGTTTTCTATTTTTTTTTTTCCTCTTTTTTTCAATTTGAAATCAAATACAGTTATTACGTTGTACAAAACTTTTCCATTGGGATCTACTTTCTTCATTATAATTTTCACTAAAAAATTCATTATTCAGAAAAATGCAAAATTGGAAAGAAGAGAAAAAAAGTAAAAGAACAGAATATCTACAGACAAGAAGAACGATTGAATTTTATGTTAAACTTTCAATTCACCTTATCATAATTTAATTTTATTAGTTCGTGTATTTTTGAACAAATAGACGTCTCTTGTAAATAGAACTCTACATGGCGACGTCCAAAGATACAAAATGTATTCCTTAAATTTTACCCAAAGAGTAATATATAATATATTTGTGTGCTAAGTGTGTAAAAATGTGAACGTAAAGAAGTACAAGAAATTATAAATAAATTTATTGTAAATCCCGAATAAAATACAAATCATTTACATCGCGTATGAAATATTCGGTAACCTGATGCCCTACGCAATATTATTCCAAAGTAAAATTACAATAATTATAAAAATTTATTACAAATTAGCCTTGTGTTTCTTTATATTTTACATAAGAAGAAAATCAAAATATACAAGTTGAATATTTTGAAAGGAAAAATAAATATCAAATGTAAGAGTAATAATACATGGATAATGTCATAACTTACATTTGGGTATACATGTAATATTAGTTAATATTATTCTAATTATATATAATACAAGGCAAAATTATTAATGTATTTCAGGAATTTCATATCAATCCAATTTGTTCAAAATTCTAATAAATTAACTTAAAAAAATGTGTAAGGATTGTTACCATAATTATAGTTTGTGTATAATAAAAAAATAAAAATCGTAAGATCACTTTTCGGTTAAAAATATCATCTTATGTTAATTAGCAGAGGGACAATCAGTGGACAAATAATAGGTAGAATACTGTAATCTTTGATAGTTTGTACCGTTCTTTGATAGTAATTAATATAATCGTGTTAAGTACCAATTATTGCCCACTGGTGGTCGCGGTAGTAACTTCAATGAATTTTACTAGATAAAAAACGAGACTTGTGAACTACGTACTTCTGTATTCTTTGTATTAGATATCTCTTTTTTTAGTAACGATCTTTGTTATTTTGGCATTTTACCTTCTCATTCAATGTCAACCCTTTTTTTCTATATGCAGTCATGTTTCATTCGGTAAGTTGTCTTTTTAAAGAGTTTCCTTTTTCCAGCGTTTTTCTAGTCCGTTTTGACCACTATTCTAATTTAGTAACAATGTTATTTTTTATTTAAATAAATCTATATTTTAAGGAATAAAACTTGTTTTTATTATAAAAAAGATAAAGTAATCAATGTTAATAAGAATACGAATTTTGGAGTATTTCTTTACAAACGTGTTATTTATTAAACATAAATATAAACATTCAATGAATTTAAACCGTACGTGTATTTATCAATACAAAAAACTTAAATTGAGAGTAAAATGATTAAAGTATATGACTAAAGAAAGAATAATTTTAAATCATCTAGACTACAAATACATCTTTCATTTATCACGTTAAAAATCGTAAAAAAATTTAGTTAATTTATGAAGTTGAAATTAACTTTTTTTTTTTATAGTTCATCTTAATAAAATCATTTTTTTTTTTTCAAAATACTATTAGGTGAGAAATGAAAAAATTAATTTTTCTAGCTTCATTTTATCAACCAATTCTTATGCAATATATAAGATTGAATGTTATATAAATAAAAATAATGTTTAATAAAAAAGCAAAGATTAATAATTACTCATTTAGAGTTCACAATTAGATATTTAATGCTTTCGATTTCGATGGAGTATATATATATTTCTCAAAAAGTTCAAGTTCACTCTCTTCTTGTTTATTCTTCTCTTTTTGTTCATTATTTGTTTGCAGTTTCTATAAAATATAAAAATAGTAATTAGTACATAATTTTCTATTTAAAATATTACAGTAACAATTTTCTAAAATAATGTCGAAGTAAAATGATATCTTACCAGGTCTTCAATAGAAGTATGTTCTTTTAAAATGTTATGGTACACACAAATTATAGAAGAATTTTCTTTCAATAAAACTCTCAATCGTTGTAAGAAATGTGACATTTCCACAAAAAATTCTTTCTTCGGTTTACGTTCGGATTGTGTAGATTCAAATAAAGAAGGAAGAAGCACAAATAGTCCATGTTGACCTAATGCTTTTCTTTGTTCACAAATATTTTCCACAATAGAAAACCGAGAAAAAGGTTCGTTTTCATTGTAAAACGAAAAAATAACAAAATTTTCAAGTAATGGGCAGATTTTTTTAGATTCTTGATCAAGTATTTGAGTGATCGAGGTTGTAACTAATGAAGACCTCACAAATTCTTTACTTGTTCTATGAAAATCAAAAATAGCACCGAGTTGACCTACAGAAGAGGCTTCCTTTAATAATTTATGCATCGTTGGTGCTTTCGTTAGGTCAACCCCAACTCGTATGATAATCTTTTGTCCACGTTCACATAATTTCTGTAAATATAAGATTTCTTTCTCCTTGGATGCTATTTTAGAAACTACAAAAAGTTTGGTAACACCTTCATCGATCATCCATTTCATTAATTGCATGCCAAAAATGTCTAAGCCTTCTACGATAAAGTAACATTTGTTCTTGTCAAAGCACAAACGAGGAACGTGGATTGATTTGATCTGTTTGAGCGGATGAATAAATACCTAAAATAAACATATTTCGTTTAAACATTAAATTGTTTATAACTATCCAAGATAATAAATTCTATATGAAAATCACTTACTTTTCCAAAACGTTCATAAACAACTTTGTTTTTTTCCTCTACAGTTCCTTGAAGATAAAGTTTTCGCGATATAATTGGTTTTACGTAACCCGCCTGCAAAGCTGCTCTCATTAGGTCAGCTGACTCTCTTTTCTTTTCCGGTGACAACTTAAAAAGATCTTGTAAACAGTAACAATACAAACTTATGTGTTTAATAAAGTTAGCTAGTGGTAACAAATAATAAGTAGGCTTATTACAATCGTAGAACATTGCCATTTGTTGTAAATCTTTAACAATGTCTAAACAAGAATCTAAATCGTCTAAAACTGAATAGCTTGCAACAACGAAGTCCAAGCCTTTCCTCTTCGTAATAGTCAAAATATCAGTTTTATAGTGTTTTATATTAATAATCTGTGACTGTGGTAAACGTGGTTGTATCAACTCGATGATCTGTTTTTCAGCTTCCGTTTCATAAGTAGTATAAACATCAAAATTATACGACAAAGATATATTTATGAGAGCCTGTCCTACGTCACTAGCACCAAAATGTACCAAAATAGTTTCCATTCGTTTAAATTTAAAAGCATTAGAATGTAATATACAGAAAGCTGCAAAATAAGCATGAGGAATTGTTGCAGCATCCTCGAAGCTCAGATTGTCTGGAATAATCCAAGTGAGTTCTGGATCAGGGATAATTTCATTGCTTATAATGAAATTGTCAACAAGTCCCATTACTCTACGACCATTTTCATCTCTTCCTGAATATTCAACAACAGATATGTGTGATTCCAAGCTGACGTCATTTTGTAACGAGTATTCATAAACATTTAGATCGAATGCAGCACACTCTACTGTTACAATGCTTTTATTTGGTTCGTTAATAAGTGGTAATTCTTCCATCCAAGTTATTGAACCTGATTTTTCAAAGTTTGCTTTCCAGTGCGAAGAAAATTTAGACTTTTCTGTCAATGGCATCCATCTGTATGTGCCCCATACACTGTTTGCCGATAACACGTTTTGACGAAAATTTAATTTTATTTGATTTTCATAGAATTTATTTTCAAGTGAAAATATCGGTGCTTTTGCGTCTTGTAAATCGAAAATGCGAAGTTTCTTATATTCCGGCTCTTGTTTTAAATCTTGAAGTATTTCAAATATATTATTTTCAACAGTAGAGTTTACCAAAAATATAACATTATCATATTTCGATTGTCGTAAACAAGTTTTTAACTGATCGATACAATTTTGTTGATTTTTAACGACAACCGCTCGTTTTAAATCTTCTTCCTTTTTTAAAAGTAAGACAGTATGACCAGAAGTTATTTTTATCTTCAAAAGAACGAATAATCCTACACTTTTTATCATAGCAATCGCATTATCTTCATCTTCCATTTTTATAACAGTTAATAGAAATGATTCTCTACTGATATTAGTAATGATATGTCTTATATCTTTAAATAAATAATACTCGATAATCATCAAAGTAAAATTTTCATCAAGTATTTTCTCAAGATGTGTTCTATCAATGCATTTTAATTCAAAATTAAACTTAGTCATCTTCGAAAGGTTTTCGAGACACTCAAAAATATTATTATGATCATATCCTGTCTCTTTTATTATAACCATTCTCTCCGTAGCACTTTTGTTAATATTTTCTGATATTACTCCTAGTACAGCGTGGAAAACGTCAATTGTATTCATCTCCGTTTCATTTACATTCGAAATAAATCGAACTTCATCCGCTAATAGCTCAATATTTGTGTCTTTTATAAATACTTCTTTAAGTTCAATACCGCTTACTTCAATACCTGTACAAGCTATTGATTTGATCTGTGGTTCGTATTTCATCGGTAACACTAAAAAATAATTTCCTGTTATATCTATATGGAATATGAACAAATAAAATTTATATTTCAACCCCTTTTACCATTTTTATCCGTCAATTCTTCTTCCAATTGTTTCATGTCAATTACGATCTTTTGTATTCTATTAGGCATTAGCATGTGTTTATTATTAGTTCTAAAAATTAGTACTTGATATAATCCTTCCAGTGCAGGTATCCAATTTTTTTTCCATTTTATTTGTCCACTTAAAGAAGTTAAAGATAGTCCATTGACGGATTTATAAAATTCTCCATATTTATAACCACGAATAAGAAGACTCGTATAAAAATCTTCCTTCGTTAATATTTCATTTTCTTTTTTAAAATAGTTTTCGTCTGAATATTGTTTTTCGTATTTACTTGTAAAGCATATAGTTCCAGTAGCTACAATAGTCTTTTCATTTATCAATACTTCAAATTTTCCTGACCCTAATAAAGAACGGCATTTATTAATTTATTAATATTACAAATAAATGTATTTATCTTTGCTATAATTACTTACCCTTCATAACAATAATTGTCAAAGAAAGTTTATCATTTTTTGGTATTTTTAATAATAGATCATGAATTACAATGTCCTCAAATATAAGAAAATTATCAGATTCTTTCTCTCTCTGATCCAAGTAAAGATCTTGAACAAGCCGCAAATAAATAGTGGAAGGTATTATAATATCTTCACCAATTTTAAAATCGTATATAAATTTATATTCATTTAATCTCAAGTCCAATATAAATGTTTTTTCTAAAGATTTTGTGTGTTTAATATAATCGAAATAATTCACGTTCCTATGGTAAATAAACGAAAAGCATTTATGTTTTAAGCACATTGGAAGTAGAAATAACTAGCATACTTACCAATCAATACTATGTTCCCATCGCATTAGCGAAGAAATCGATGGGGTACCTTTACAAACAGGGTATGGAACTCGCGGATAAAGATTCCCAACTGTTATGGGAATTCCAAGATTATAAAGCTTTCCTAATGTAGATAGAAGTAAAATTGTATTGTCCTTGTGGCCTCGTTTAGTTAATGATAAATTAATGATATTACTGTTCAATGATTGTGCTAAAATAGTCTGAGGAATAAAAAGTAATTAGTTATGCAATTTAATTAACTCTAATTAAAATATTTTTTCTAATATATGAACCTGTAGAAGTCCGTGGGGAGAAATTTCAAGGGTTATACTGTTTTTCGGTATCATTTGTAATACTTCTTCGAATAAAACGGGAGAAATAAAATTATTTGTAAAATATTCTGACGAAGAATAACAAGCTTTTAGTGAATGCCATTTGTTTCTCGGAAAAGATGTAGATATCCAACGTTCACTGCGTTGTTTTGGTTGAAGTATGACTTTTTTTAAGTAATCCGCCAATTTTAGAGCAGCTGGGTGAATGTAACGACTATGATATGAAATATTACCGGTTGGTACGATCTTAGCAAATATTCCTTTACTCTAAAAAAAAAAAAACTTTATTATAACGATTTGTTTATTGAAAAATCATCTAAACTTTACCTGTAATTCCTTGATAAAAGCTTTTATAGATTCGATAGGTCCACTTATAGTAGAACTTTGCGGCCCGTTGTGGCAAGCAACATCAATGTCTTTGGGAAGAAAATGTTTAATTTCTTGGTAACCAATACCAACTGCAGCCATCGCTCCAATTATCATTTCAGTTTCTACAGAAGCCAGACCTCGAAAGAGAGCGGTTAAAATCGTTTCTTCCCGCGTGCAACAACCATCAGCGTATGAACAACCCAGCTCACCAGCAGAGTGTCCGATTATGTAATTTGGTTTTACTCCAACTGCGTATAAAACATCCACCAGACCGATCTACATACCAATTGTACAAAATTTATTCGGAAAAGAGAAAGAATAAAAACTGTAAGCGGGAAGATATTAGACATTTAATTACTTGTATAGCTGCTATTCCTAGAAAACTGTTTACAATATTGTCGTATATAGTTGGATCATTGTCACATATAATATGCACAATATCATAACCTCGAGGTTTTAATACCTTGTCACATATTTTTATTGCTTCAGCAAAGATTGGTATTTTCATTAGAGATTGACCTAAAAAACAATTGTATATAGAATTTATTCCATGAAACATCTCATTGATTATTTATTTTTAATATTTTAAATACCCATTCCAGTCCATTGACAGCCCATTCCCGTAAAAACAAACCATAATTCCTTAGATGTTTCGTTAACAGGTACAATTTCTTCCAAAATTGTTTTTGATTCCGTCTCTTCTGTTGATGACAATAGTATGTATCCACGAAATAGAGAGTGATTTAATGGTTTTATCATAGCATCGTTGATTAACTGCAGTAATTCCTCGTTGGAATTGTTTGTTTTTAACTAAATATAAAATATTTATGTGTGAATAATATTTAAATTATAAATCGTATAGTGATTAATATGCATTTTTAACAATTAATTAACGACATAGCCACGTTGGATTTCTAATTTGCGTCACATCGAAAATCGTATAGTATTGACTTTAGAAGACAGTAATAGAATATGATCTTTTTGATAATATCGAATATGTATGAAAAATCGTTCGTAGGGAAATGATTCGAACCCGCAAAGAGAAAATAAAAGAACACAATGTACATTTACACAACTATACTTACAGAATTAAAGATCAATGTTAACATCTCCTTATTTCGTGCAGAGGATGTCAAAAGTCGAGGGAAATCTTGCGTTGATAGCTTTCCTTTTTTTTTATTTTTCGAATGACGTTTTAAGATAATGTGGGAAAAGAGACCGTTGAAAGAGGCAGTATTGACGGCTGCGTAACCTTCTGTCCAATGTGTCGGTTTTGTAACAACTTTAACACGTCCATCTTGAAGACATTTAGCATCTTCCGGAGGTTCATCATAATGAAGATTCGGAGGAATAATGTCTTTCTCCATAGCCAAAATTACCTAAAAATTCGACGTTAACTTTATGCGTAATTACTAATCGATGAAATATTGAATAATTGAAATATTTTGAGAAAAGATTTACCTTTATAATTGAATTTATTGTATTACCAGAACTTGTATGACCAATGTTTGATTTTACTGATCCAATTAGAAGGGGATTAGAAGGGCTTCGATCCTGTCCGTAAACAAGATCGATCGCTTTTAATTCTTCGCGATCTATTTTCTTCACTGCTATACCATCGGCCTCAATATAAGTAATATCACTTGGTCTTAAGTTACAGTCTTTCAAAGTCTTTTTCATTATTTGCGCTTGGAACTGTGCAGAATTGAGAATCATAGTGTGGTCATCTATACTTCCGCCATATTCCACATTTATAGCACTAATCTCTGCGTAAATACGCCTTGCATTTTTGGCTTTTTGTAAAAAGAGCACACCTATTGATTCGCTGCGTGAGAATCCCGAAGCCTTTGCATCAAACGATCTGTTTATTCCGTCTGATGATGCTAATCCTAAAAATTGATTTATCTCAAATTATTTTTAGTTCCTAATAGATGTTATCTCATTTAGTATATTTTATTTATTTATAAATATTTATTACATTATTTACCTAATTCTTTAAGATGATAAGAAAAATTCGGATATAAATTAAGAATTCCAGCATCAACGATTGCTGCTTCGCATTCACCAGATTTTATAACTTCGAATGCTTTTTGCAAGGCTGTTGCACTTCCAACGCATTCTGATTGGACGGTACAACTTGGACCTATTAAATCCAAAGTAAAGGATATTCGATTTGCTGTCATTGTTCGAGCGGATCCCACAATTCCAAGACCATATGGCTACGCCGATTATAACGATGAACATTAATTTCCAATTGTTATTATCTAACCCTTTGACTGCTAACTACTCTAAGTTGAAGCGCTTAATGCGAGCGGCGTGCGGCCAGCAGTAGCAATCGCTGGGGACTAAATACTTTTTTTCTTTTTTTTGTATTTACATACAAGAGTATTTAATTTATTACGTACAAGTAAACAGCCAAAACTTCGCCGAGCGCGCATTTGCGTCCATAGTCGATACCGATGGCTTGCGTCGGACGCATATATGCGCCCATAGCAGTCAAAGGGCTAATTGGTAATATAAGTTTAATTTACTAACCTCGTATTTTTCATAAAAAATTCCTTTGTCTGATTCTTGATAAGACAATGATGCAAAGACTGCAATTTTGGTATTATGTAATTCTGCAGGATTCAATCCGGCATCAATGATAGCTTCAAAAATTGCCGTTGTCAACAATCTCGTTACTGGATCCGTCGTAGCTGCAACTCTCGAACTAATGCCAAAAAAAATGTTATCCAACTTTGTGATGTCTTTCATTGTTCCCATACGGTAAGGTATTTCTTTGTATTCTAGGAAAATTCATTTGACAATTTACAGTTTGTAACATTTTTTTAAGTACAATTAAATTTACAAATTGTAATATATATATATTCTTACTATTGGGCCATCTCCTATGATTTTCCGATACACAATCGACACCATTAATAAGATTTTCCATGAGTTCATCGACATTATTGCTATTAGGAAATTTTCCAGAGATACCAGAAATCACAATTACATCGTCACTCAAATTTTCTACAACCATATTAATTAATGGAATTACTTTGACACTAGAAAAATAGAACAGCAGAAGTACAAGTAAGTTCAGTCAACGAAATCGTATTAAAAAATTTATTCATCAAGTGCTGTTTTATATCTTCGCACCGATTAAAAAAAAAATCGAATATTTTACTATTTGTGAGTATAATATGTTCTAACCTTCTGAAATTGTCGTAAACTCATCGTTACGAAATGCATGTTTTTATGTATACAAAATAACCAAGCCGGTTAAACGTATTAATAAAGTTCAAATGTATGACGTAGGTATTTAAAAGTGACTAGACAATTTATTGACTAGCTAATAGTTTAAAAAAACTTAAAATTCAGTTTCCTGTAAACAAGTTAAATTTTATTATTATACCTATAATGCTTAAACAAATATTCGCTATTTTATAATTTTTGCGTTAGGATATAGAAAAATTTAATATATTGAGCTCCTAAAAGTATTTATATACTACGAAATGTTTAAATTGAGGTTGAAATGATTAAAGTGTATAACTAAAGAAAGGATGATTTTAAATCATCTAGACTACAAATATATCTTTTATTTATAGCGTTAAAAATCGTAAAAAAAATTCCGTTAATTTATGAATTTAAAATAAGCTTTTTTTTATAGTTCATCTTAATAAAATCATGTTTTTTTCTTTTCAAAATATTATTATTAGGTTGATGTAAAAATAATGGCTAAGAGCTACTTTAAAACGATATAACTCGTAACAAATAAAGCTTTACAAATCGAAATAAAAATCATTTGCATCAATACATTGTTGCTAACGAGAAAGTTCAAAATGATAAATTTTTTGATTTTCTGAAGCTTTTCAACAACTTCTCGTGTGGTTTTATATGGATCGCCTTCGATGAACACCTTCGATTGGTCGTTATTAACTTCTGATAGTCTACCGTGACTCTCTTCATCTTCGAAATTAATACTACCAAGGCGGAATTTTTCGAACTATCGGCGCATGTACGTTTAGAAACGTGTCATCACCCCGTTAACATTTCAAGTGGTTTTCGTACTTTTATATTCAAGTTTGAATTTTCGTAATAAAATTATTCGAATTTCCTATTTCGACAGCGTTTGTATAAACGATCTAAAAGCACATGCAAAATAATGATAGAAAAAAGATAATAGCATTAATTAATAGAGGAAAAAACACGCTTTAAAATGATATATAACAATTGAAGATTTTATTTAAATATTAATACACAAAACATAGACAATATGAAAACGGCCATTATTTTCGCATCAATCTTATATTATAAGGTATGGAAGAATTAATTTTTTTGGCTTTATTTTATCAACCATTACATACGCTAAATAAAGGATTGAATTTTAAATAAATAAAAATAATGCTTAATCAAAAAATCAGTAATTATTAATAATTACTCATTCAGACTTTACAATTGGGTTAATAATGCTTTAATTGACAGTAGAAGATTAAATGTTTCTCAAGAAGTTCACAGAGTTTTCTAGATTCTTGGTCAATAATATGATCATCTTTTCTCCACATTCATATAATTTCTTTAAATAAAAGATTTCTTTCTCCTTTGATACTATTTTAGCATTCTTGGAACAGTCCTTGATAACAAGATGGATAGATTTGATCTGTTTGAGCGGGTATTATCTTCATCTTCCATTTTTATAACAGTTAATAGAAATGATTCTCTACTAATATTAGTAATGATATGTCTTATATCTTTAAATAAATAATACTCGATAATCATCAAAGTAAAATTTTCATCAAGTATTTTCTCAAAATGTTTTTTATCAATGCATTTTAATTCAAAGTCAGTCTGATGTGTTTAGAGTACGAGAGGATCTGTCTCAGGTTTAAAATTTTAAACTTTCTTAGTATATTCTATGGAACTAAATAAAAAAAAGTGGTATGTAAACATAAGTCATATAAAGTTTTATTAATAAGTTATAATACAAATATGGAATAAAAAACAAAGTAGAAATAATCGCAAGCAAATAACTTGTTTATTATAAGCAGCTAGGATAGATTTATGTATTTATTCGTATAATTATATTACATCGTAACTTCCAGGATTAACTAATACTCATTGTCACTTTTAAATTATTTATCGTTCTTGGCAATAAACGAATGATATTGCTATTTTGTCGTTATCATTGTCTAATGAAGTCAAATGAGTAAATTATTCTGCATTACCTAATACACCTTAGAGGACAATAGTCATTCAACTTATTGTAAGTTTTCACTGTATTTGCTTAATGTCTTGGATACCATTTACCTAAAAATTTGAGCAAAACTAAAAAGTTCTTGGACGCACAACGATCGAAAATTCATTCGAAAACAGTTTAGAAATACTGCGCGTATAGTAAAGTCCAAGTTTATAATAGTGTAACTGAGAAAATAGTATAAAGTCTATTACCAGGGTCGCGAAAATATTTATTTGGATAAGGAGCATCGCCAAATTGAAAAGTTTGAGTAGCTCTTCTTTAAATGACCCTTTTAACATCGTTAATTTTTTATAAAGTATGATGAATACTTTTTGATTTTTTTATATGAAGCTTAACTTAGCATATATTTTTTTTTTAATTAACACTTCGAATTCTACTTAATTTATTCTCAATAAGATGTTTTTTAACTTTGTGTTGAAAAATTGTTTATTTTATAAAAGATTAATTGTAAAGAGAATTATTTAAATCAGTTGCATTTCAAATTTTCTAAAAACACTATTTAAAATTTAGCGCTAATCGATCTTAGTACAATGCTGCCATCAAGCGGCAGAGTTTGGCAGTCAGAATCTCCATATATGTATAATACAACAAATCAATTCAGTGATCTCATTCGTACGATAATTATCGTACGCGTCACATAATTTCAAGTCTTGTACGATCCAAAATTCAGCCTGTACGATAATTTACGATTTTATGGTTTACGGTTTAATTATCACTGTCCAATTTGGAATTTCGAAAACTTGATGACCAGTTTTTTTTTTTACTCATCAAATTTTGCAAACGGGTCAGTTAGAACGGTAAAGGGGTTCAACTTGCGATTTGGATTCGATATCTCGAGAAGCTTGAAGAAGAAAGAACCACCACTGTACGATCTCTGTACGATCTGGTCTTTCTCCCTGCCGTATTTACGATAGCTTTTTTGAATTTGACGACTAAAAAAAAAAAGGTCATCAACAAATTGAAAAATGTGGAAATTGAAAATTTAACAAGTTCAAAATTTTTCCTGTGCGTACGATAATTTTCCGGTGTGTACGATAATTTTACGCCCCTGTGTCGCAGTGTAGCCAGATCGTGGGTAAATCGTACCCTCTCCCTGTGCCACTGTGGGATTGCACACAATGAAAGTTACCCATGTCCGTGTGTTCGGGAAGTCGAAAGAAGTCGAGTGTAACCGAAGTTGGAGCACGTGGAGTGGCACACTATGAAAGCCCGCCAACTTCGGTTACACTCGACTTCTTTCGACATTCCAAACACACGGACATGGGTAACTTTCATTGTGTGCAATCCCACAGTGGCACAAGGAGAGGGTACGATTTACCCACGATCTGGCAGCACAGCTGTGTCGATCAGACAAACTAAAGTCTCTAGGATCACTGCAAATCATATTATGTGAGCCTTAGTTTTTGATAATTGAGAATCATGAAATATTTTTATGTATTAAGTTGATTCCAATTCTTATTGGTATTGAGTAAATATTGTTATTTTTATTCAAATATACTTGTATACTATGTCAATTGTAGTTCTTAATCTTTTATTTTTATGTGTATTTACATTTATTGCATATTATATTTACTACATATTAATATCTTATGTTATTAACCATTAATACCTATCTTAAATTAATATTAATTTTATGTATTAGTCTTATAATTAGTACCTTTGGGTTATTTCTTTGTTTCAGATAACTTCTAAGGTTTGTTCTCAAATTGATTTAATCAATGTTTTTTGTATGGATATTGAATGAAATATTTTTTGTATCTATTATAAGAAAAGAAGTATATTGATCTTATGTAGGATCATTGTACAAGAAATTTAAAAATTAATATTTATATCAAATAACGTCTATACAAATTATACAAAAGAGAATTAAGTGGATTAGAATCATCGTTCCTTATTGAATATATTTTTATAAAAAAAAAAAAAAAAAAAAATGGAAGAAATAAATCCTAAAGTATTAGCGTATAAAGAACAAACAGAGAGCACAATAAATTATTGTCAGAACAGTCGTATGGAATTATCTGGTATGAACTCCATATCGATGAACAATTATAATGAAGAATCAGCAAATTTAAAAAGTATGCTTCATATACAGGATTCATGTAATTTAAAAAAAGAATTTTTACCAAAAAAATTAACTAATCTAATTAAATTAGATTTGACTAACTGTTATTTAACAGATCTTCCAAAATATTTATGTCTATTAAAAAATTTACAACATCTTGTACTCAATAATAATCAACTTTCATGCTTACCAAATGTAGTTGGAGATCTGAAAGAATTAATATCTTTAAAAGTACATAATAACAACTTAAAAGAAGTGCCTGAAAATATTAGTTATTTATTAAATCTTGAAGATTTGGATTTAAGTTTCAACAAATTAACAGACATTCCATGCACATACAAAATGTTGAATAGATTAAAATATCTTTCTCTAGCAAATAATAATTTGATATGTATTCCTGATTGCATTAAAACGGGAATGTCCAGTTTGGAAATGTTAGTTTTATCACAGAATAATCATATCATGTTGAATATTTCATTGCGCAGTAAAAATATTAAAAGATTTTATGCAACAAACAATGGTATTTGTTCGTCGTTTCCCAAATGGATATTTAATAATATATATAATCAATTAGAAGAAGTATTTTTAGATCATACGGTATTTGAAAACTTTCATTTTTCAAGAAATAACGTATCAATTTCAAATATTAAAAAATTGTCAATGATAGAATGTAAATTATCTGAAAAAATTTTGAAAGAAATTTTTCAAAGGCTAAAGTCACCTGAAAGTTTGAACTTTGGAAATAGTGTATTAACAGCAAACAGAAATCTTTTTTGTTTATTACCAATTCAAGATATAAAAACCAAATCTAGTCTGAAAGATATAAATATTTGTAAAACAAATATTGCGATGATACCAAAACGCATAAATGAGTTTCTGGCTTTAGTAACAATTGATATTAGTTATAATTATATCACTTGGTTACCTGATGAAATATGTGATTTGCACAATTTACAAAATTTGATAATTAATGATAATTTATTAGTTAGTTTGCCTGATTCTATTGGTCAATTGGCTTCTCTTAAAACATTAAAGGCTAGTAATAATGCATTAACTAGTTTACCAAGTTCTATAATGCATTTAAATAATTTACAATTTTTGGACCTTTATAATAATGAATTGTTTAAAGAAACATATGTTAATATTAATATGACTACTTTACAAGGAATAGATCTCGAACAAAACTATTTTTTGACTAATGATTTACCGGTAAGATAATTCAGAAGTATTTTTATTTAGAAAATTCAAAATAACAAATAATGATTTAAAAAAAAATCTAATTTTTTATATTAATAAATTAAATTTTAAGATAACATATAATTATGAACATTTAAGAGCTGCATTATTAAAATATTGGAATGAAAAATTTAGAGTAGTTGGTTTAAAGAAAGAGCCCGTGTATGATGACGAATTTGTTGACTCATTACGCACACTTGATACGAGTGATGATAAGTATATATCAGTTTCGTTTGTTACTGAATATTATTTAATGGTTTTATTAAATAATGGAAATCTTTGGTTAATCTTTAGATTATCAGAAGAACAGACTTCTTTTGAATGGTCTAAAGAAAATTGGGATGAATCAAGTGATTCAGCAGAAGAATTCGATCCAAATGGTAATTTGATATATTTTTTAATATACTTTTATCTCATTACTGTACTATAAAAAGTATGTTACATAATGTATTATTTTAGCAGAATGTTGGAAACCAAAATTAATTCGATGTTCTCCGCTCGTTGCTTGTAAAAGAAAAAATTTAAAGGAATATTTTTGTCCAGCAGATTTACACGCAAAGCCAATTTTAGAGTATGTTCAACAGATGATAGATAGTGGTATTTTATCTTCGAACACTGAATTTGAAACTGGTCAATTTGACGATGCTTGAGACAAAAAAAAAATTGTGCTATGTCATTGCCATTGACTATAATAAATGATAATTGTATTATATATAAATATTTAAACATTGATAAAATACTAAATATTTATGTTCTATTTCTGTACACTTATTTAAATGCATGTATTACTTTACATGAAAACTGCGATAAATGAAATACGAAAAGTATGAAAAGTGGTAAATAAATACCATATAAATGTTATTAAAATGTAAATAAACATCAATATCTTAGGTATATATTTTTTTATTCCTATCATTGTGTGCGAGAAAAATTGATACTGAAAGATATAATAAAGTCAACGAAGATTATGTTTTTCAAAGGATTTTCTTATTTTCATACATTAAAGAAATATAATGCTATATACTTATGAATGCATATATAATTTATTTAAAATGCTAATAATCTTTCCTTTGAAATTTATTCGATATTTGAAATATATTAAATGCCACCACGTTTAGTTATCTGTGTCATGCAATAATTCAACATTTACAATTCATTATCCATTTTCTAAAAAGTGCCTTTTGATTTTTGCTTGCGCGTTTAACTTTTAAACATTATATTTTGAACATATTGTTATTTGTAATCAGCCGTACATTTGCAACAATCGCAAATTGGATAATTCTTATAATCACGCACTGTACTCGAACGAATTTTTTTTCGATCCAACTGGAAATAAAATGAAAAAATATTAAATAAATAAAAAATTTAATGTAACAAATGAACATACGGGAGCTATGCAATCATATTAAAAATTTAATTTCGTTTACTTTTCCTTCGTCGAAATCTTTCATTTTTACTGATTTTCTTTTACTTTTATGTTTTTTCCTTTTTTCCTTAGCTTTCGAATTTTTCTTAATACTTGAATCAAAATAATTCCTGTCTTTCAATTTTTCTTTCTTTTTTTTCTTTAAAAGTATTCGAGATTTGTCTTGATCATTTCTCTGACCTCTGTGATATTTCGGAGAATAATGATCTAATGATCCACTTTCAATATCCACATCCGAGCAATTGCATGTACAAACATTTGATCTTCCTTTTTCTTCAAGATGACTGAATTAAACAAAAAAAATTTACAAATATATCATATCTTCATTTTCACTTCATACCTGACATCATTGTGTGTGTTAAGAATTTAAATTATTTTAATAATTACATCGATCTTCCATTCATCAATTTTGCACGTTTCCATTTCCGAGTTATGCAAAGTAATATAATGCATGTAACAACGAAAAAAAAACCAAGAAGAAGCAAAAGATTCAACCATCGCATATTTGTTGAACTTCCGTTCGTATCAATTACTTGCTTATTTTCATTCATTTCATTGGCCTGTTTTTCTTGACTATGAGATAATATATGTATGAAAAAATAATTAAACGATAAGTGTGTGTAACTATGAACGATACAATTTAAATTAACATACGATGTGTTTTCTTCATCGATTGGAGACACGCTGTGTTGATTTTCAGGAACTTCATTCGTGCAATTCTCTTCCATTTTTCCATTCTTTTCTTTCTCCTTACCAACATCCTTATGTGAATTTCGTTTTGAAATTAAATGAGGTTGTCCTTTGACGATAGCATTGAAAGATTTGATATTTCTACTTTTTGTTATATATTTTGCTAGATCAGGCCTTCCTAACATTCTCAAAGTTAGATCCATCGTCTCTCGAATATTAGAGTTTTCTTCTACTTTTTTTTTTGTAACATACATACATTATTAACTGCTATTTTTTTTTAACAACAGTATGAATTTTCAAAATATGATTTTTTAAGCACTGGTATATTTTAATAAATGAAATAATTGACATACGGTTACTGAAAGAAAAGACCTCAATGTTATATGAACTCTGTTTTACCATATTAGCACCTAGGTAATTATGGTTCCAATTTTCAAGTCCGATTAAACAATCCCGATTAGTGATTCCATCGTTGTAAGAATATTCTCGTACGATCCTTGTTGTCTGTATATTAGGAATGTATTTCATCGAAGATCTCATTATTTTTATTAATTGAAGACATTCCAAAGGATTTAGTCTCAACGATAAATATTCAAGTTCCTTTTGATTGAAATTTTCCTCCTCCACCATTGCATTGAATAAACCATATTTCTAATAAAATATTATATGTATTATTAATAAATAATAATAAAAATAATAAAATATATATAGTTTTTTTTTCATTTATTTATTATAAATGCATTTTATTTTACTCAATTTTTGCATTTAATAATGTAAAAAATCATATAACCTATGTTATATTATAAAAATTAATTTAGAAAAAGGATGGAGACAAAAAATTATTTAATAGATGCCTAAGTATAAATAAAAAATCAATAAGTAACTTACTGTTATGAAAATAATTATTACAACATAAATGTTACGTACAAATCGCATTATTGAAAAATATTTAAAAAGGTCAAAATTTTTTTACCATCGAGCATTATCCCTTTATTATTACGAAAAAAAAAAAAAATAAATAAAAATTCGATAGGTAATATCTTCACATTTAATGAATATTTTGACATCCAATAATTTTGGAATTGCGAATGGTATCGATACGTAATTTAAATTTTTTCATTGGTAATGTTACTAATTAGTAAATATATATATATATACTATATGTATATACTCAAACACATCTGTGAGAATAAATTGTTAAAATATTCATATATTTAACGCTAAAAGGAAAGGTTAAGTTAGTAAATTAAAATAAATATTAAAAGAAAAAGAAAGAATTGTTACAGTATTTGACTAATTCAATTAAAATAAATAATTGAGAGTAAGTTAATATTATTTATAAATTATTCTATCACATTTGTTTGAAATAAAATAATCATATAAATTATCAATAATATTTTTTTAGATCCTTTAGATGGACAAGATCGGCAAGATTTTGTTTCTTTATTCAAAATGAATGAATTAAAAAAGTACAAAAATTTGCAAGCAAAATTAAATAATTTATTACAATTAAACAGCACCGAAATCTTCTTTTCGTCAACATCCAGCAAAGCTATTAAAAAATCGTCGACTCGGTGTGTGTGAAATAAATTTATTTATAAAATGAAAAAATATTATAACGTAAAATCATAAAAGTATACTATATAATATACTCGGGATGGTTGTATATATTACTTATTAATTTCTTAATGGTATCACATGATTCTTGACATCAATCGATATAATTATATAAATAATTTTATTTTTATTTTAAATTAATAAGGATTCGGAATACTATATAATTGTCATAATATTACATTTTTACATATAGAGATTATTACGGCGAAAATATTACAACTAATCCAAAAAATAAGAGTAATAAAGATTTTAAAAGAGAAAACAGGATGGATTTAGATAAATTTGTTCCATTTTTAAATAAAACACAATTGCAAGAAGGTAAGGGTACATAAGTTTTTTTTTATATGGAAATTTGACAAATGAAAATTTGTATTTTTTTTAGGAATTTCTTCTTATAGAATGTCACTTCAAACTGTTGGTATTATCGTCATCGTAGTGATAATTCTAACTTGTTGTTGTACATTGTATTTAAGAAACAAGTTAATGGCTTTAGTGCATAGGCTAGTAGGAAAAAAGACAAAAGATAGGTAAAAGTAATAAAATAAAAATTTTTATTTAAATTTATCTAACAAATATATATTAAAATTTATGATATAAGAAAATATATATATCAAACAGATTGAATTTTACAAATATATATATATATATTTTATATTGGAATTTCATATTAACTAGAGGATTATTGCCAGTGGATCTTGAAAAAGGTAAAGGAGAATGGAAAAAAGGTTCAACGAGTCTAAAAAAGCTACAGAAAACAGAAACCAAGCCAATAATTGAAGATGAAACTTATTCTGCCCCGCAACATGTTATGACAACAACGTCCAGCGTACAAGCAAAACCATCATCAACTACATGTTGCAAATGTTTTAAAAAAAAAAAAAAGAAAACTCGAAAGAAACACAAACGATAATAAAAATTAGCTGTTGATTTTACTATTTCAACAATTTATAAGGGAGAAAATTATTTAAAATCCTTATCAATTATTGTATAATTGTTAGATAATTACTAATAGTTGATAAAATTTATAAATTAATAATACAAGATAATAAAATAGTTAGAAATTTAATCAAAGAAAACTGGAATGTAACTATGCTTTCGTAAAAGTATAAACAATTCTTTTATAAATTCGTAAACACACGATTATAAATATTAATAATTAAAAATCTATTGAATATCAATAAGTTTTTTTGTAATTTTTTACAAAAGTTTTGTGGGAACATTGATATTGACTTAATTTTTTATCACCTTGTACACATTTTTATATAAGAGACCAAACTGAGTGGCATTGATTTATAAACCTGACGATCTTTAAAACAAGATTCGCTTTCGATAAACATTCACTTTTTGTTAGTAATCTAAGGCATACATAATTATAATCAATCAATGAAAACCTCAATTTTTAATTTAATTGTGTACTTATTTGTATCTTTTGTATTACCATATGTTACTTTCTGCACGATTGATGTTAATTTGAATCAATTAGAATATATTGCTGCACGTTTAGATCCATTCGAATGTCGGCGTCTTATTGCTGCTCTTCATTATACATCTTATGAATTGCCAATGAGTTTGGCGGCAGCAGGTAAAAAATATATTAACATTAATATGAAAGTATAATGATATCTTTAAAATTTTTATAAACGAATTCTTCGATAATTAAATGTTATCTTTTTACTAACGCAATGTTTGTATTTGTTTAAAAAAAAAAAATGTTGCACGTGTTGTGCTAAATTACATTTATACAATTAATAACGAACCAAGAATTTTTAATACAATAAAAATATAATTTAGATAAAAATGTAAAGCTAAGAAATATAAGGATAATTTAATGTTGTTAAAAACAATGTTATTATAGAAATATAGAATATAATGAAATAAAAGTAAAAACACAGACAAATTATTTCGACAGAACGTACAATAGATGAGGAAATTCCGTGTATAAGACATCTTATTCATTGGAATAGTTCACCAGCCGAAGGTCTTGGTCAAAGTCACGAAGCTTTGGTTCATCGACTCCGAGCATTGGGTCGTGATGATTTAGCTGATTGGCTAGGAAAATCTACATTTAAACAGCTCGGAATGGATATGGCCAGAATTATGGATCAGCCATTTGATAAATTAGGCGAACAAGAAACTGAGGCGTCGTTAGTTATATTTGATATCAAAATAGACAATATTAAATAATTTATATTTCAGCTGTTGATTAAAAAAGTTGTTTAACCCCTTAAGGAACAATTTTTTTTTTTTAAACCGGCAAACAAAATCATTTTTGGTTCAATAACGTATACTATACGTCGCTTAAAAACCATGTTGTTTATTTCTCAAGCTATAGTTCCAGAGTGCATGATGTCGCATAATATGTAGACAATTAGCCCTATTCAGTTTTTTATATTTTATTTATTTTTTTTTTTCTGTTTAAATCCGCTATCGATCTTAGTGAAAGAAAAAAAATCCATTCAGAGATTAAGAATAATATAATATAATATAATATAATAAACATAATAACTATGG